TTGGAAATTTTACGGTTAGAATCAACCACACTAATTAGCCTAGTGTAAAAGATTTCAGGCTGTTTTGTTTCCTTTCTGAGGCAAAATATGGCCTCTCATTGCTCAAAACACTCTTTGAAGTTTCTACCGTAATCCTACAGTAATGAAGAGAAATGAGTGATTCGTTCTATACTGCAAATCTAAGTTGAAGCCAGCTCTACAAAACGGTACCTGAAGCAAGGCAAAAGACTTGTTGGGAAAAAAGATATTAACGATCAAACAGTGTATACATACTTTACGGACCCCCTGTATAATATTGAGTGCGGTACGTGCTTTCTTTGCTCAATATAGTTTGATTTTTGTGGCATACAATAAGGAAGTACTGCAAAAGCAACATTTCGACCAGTTGCTAAGAAGTCACTGTAGTCTCAGCCTAAAGGCTCTGCATGACGAAGGCAATGAAGCAGTAATGGGCAAGCGGGCGCGAAAGCGGTGCGCCTATCTTCACCATTGTAAATTCTAGGCCTTATGCGCTCTGCGACTAATAAAGCCGCGTCGCGCCCAAAGATGTTGTGCCACCGTCATGCAGCAGCCCATATTGGTCTCAGTCACCATTTTCAACTACGCTTAGCCAACTCTTTTGTACACTTATTACTATACAAGCTTAAGTGTCCTCTGCTAAGGCGATAACGACTTAGAAACGTCAAATCGCTCATTTTTCAACCTATCTTCGTCGTGTTCGATTTAGAACACACATTTTAATGAAAACTAGCACACAAGCATGTAACAACATCGCCTTCGCTTTTGTGCAGAATCCCGGGAGTCTAGTATTAGGCTGGAAACTAAGTTTTGCGATTACTTTCATAACTCACCTCTCTTTGGATGTAGCGCACTCAAACAGGGCTATATGTAGAGCGTAGTGTAAGCTACAACTGATCAAAGCTGCTTGAATTTTGAAAACGAATTAGAAAAACTCTAGGCATTTTTTGAAAACTAATAAGTGTTGCCCCCACAATGGTCGGCCGCCTCATCGTGGCGTGAGGTGACACTGGGTGTCGAACTGCAATGCACAACCGAGCGTATACTCCAGCAGGGTTTCCCGAGCTGTGAAGGAGTTCGACGTTTCCGATTTGGGCCGGATGCCTGGCTAGGAGCCAGCCAGGCCAGATCCACCGCAGTCTGGTTTTCAGGTCGCTAGGCGGTTCTCCCCACTCCAAGCCCGAGGGCAACGATCGCCCCGTGGAAATCAAGACTTGGGCCCGTAGTAAAGCCCTGTTCAGCGCAACTTGGTTAGGGGCGGGCCTACGTTGAACGTAGACCGCCTCAATCCGGCATCCGGTGAGCTATTGATTTGGATGCGGATCGCTTTCTAGACATGGAGATCCTGTGCATTCCCAAAATCATACACTTCGAGTAGGTTTGGTAGAGCGGCTAAGTAAATAGGTTTCAACGCGCAAGACCATGTTTCGGAGCCGGCTAGTGGCAGATTTTTGCGCCCCACGGACAATCTTTGATAGCGGCCGTTATTGAGAAAAATCGATGGCGACCGCTATCAAGGATATCGCCAAGCAAACGAATGGCTAAAACAAAACTACCATATTTTGATGAAGATACCATGAAAAACGAGAGTTTTGAAACATGGAGCAAATGAAAAATTTAGAATATCCTTGTTTCAAGCAGTTATTTTAAAAGAAAAACATAAGCAAGGTCTGAAAAAAAAGAGGAAATCCGAGAAATCCTGTTTTCTTGCTTTTCTCGCCGCAGTCAGCTGTTCATTGATCCTATACCGTTTAAGCCGCCGAAATTGTGCAAATTCGGGAGTTTTGCACCGCAGCAGTACGTCAGCTGAATTTTTCCATAAGTTACTCACGAGCAACTCACGGAAAATTTGTTTGATCCTCCTATTTTGCACACTACTCTCGGGTCACCCGAAAATTCAACCTCGGATGAGTGGCATTCTGGTAAACTGACTGTGACACTTGACCGGATCTTCTGACTGTTGAACTGACTATCCTGAAGCAAAGGTGGGTGGGATTAGGTTCACCGAATAGAGGTTTACTAAGGGCCTTAGCCTAGTAAGTTTGCGCTTGTAGGTGAAAAATTTCATTACTCTACCAGTTAGAAGAATAGAAAGAAACCCTGCACATGGGATACGGCGCCGGGTGGTAGCAAGACTGATGTCAGGGTCCCCAGGGCGCCTTTTGGATTGGACAAAAACGACACGTCTGCCCGGACGACACGCCACGGAGACTGCCTCATGCTCTGCACCTACAACGCCAGGAGAGTCTCCACAAACGCTGACCTCCACGCTCTTCTCGACGCTGCGGAGCCCATCAAGTACCACATCACCGCTCTTCATGAAACGACGGCCAGGAAGAAGGACGTACGACAGTTAAGTGATGGCACCCTCATCATTCGTAGTGAAAAGGTTTCATCACAAAACGTGGGAGGCTCTGTCGTCCACTCATCCATCTTGTTGATTCGCACGAGATCCTATCACCTCGACTAGCCATCCTACGACTACGCCCTCCACGTCAGAAGACCATCAGCATTATCAACTGTTACTCTCCAACATCAGCAGCTGACGACTCAGAATCTGATGCTTTCTACGAAGACGTGGAGGAGGTCGTCCGCAACGAAAAGTCTTCTACAAGTACGTTGTAGGCGACTTCAATGCAAAAATCGGGATGCCACTAGAAAAGGAATAGAGGAACGGGAAGTTTGGAAATGGGCTCCGGAACGAAAACGGCAACCGTCTCGTTGGATTTGTGTACAAACTGTTGCTAGACGTTGACTTATTCGGCTCAAGAAAAAAGAAATAAAATTTAGGGACAAGTCGAGATTCGGCGCTCTCACAATTTCGAAAAGTTGCTGTACGCAAGGCTGTTGGGGACAAACGTTAATGACTAAGGAGTCAGAACCACAAAATTCGCCGAGCCTTTACATATTGAGGTTCTTTGACTTGCTAAGCACGAATATTAAATTTACTTGTTGAATCAAGGCCTTTTTCCTTGTTTAGGATGGGACCCTATATCGTACACCTAAAATAATCTTACAAAAAAACCCCTATCACGCAACTTTAGTATCGTTTTCGTGATCAGCATATCGGATAACCCTCCTATACCAAATTTCAGCCAAATCTGTCAAATTTAATAATTTTTCCTTCATACAATATACCTACCGTAACCCTCACTGCGACGTCAGAATCTGGTAGTACAGCAGCTAAGCTTGTAGCTTACGTCATAGCCAACACAGTGGCAAAATTTGAGCGCGCCATGTTGAGTGAGACGAAAGTTATTGAATGAGTTGCACAAATTAACTTTCAACCTAATAAATCATAGAAATTTTTAATGCAAAACTGGCAAAACAGCTTTTTCGAGATCGTGCATTTCAACTTTGATACAAAATGACCAATACAAAGGCTTCTTCACAAAGGGTTTAATTCGCACAAAACATGAACACTTACACAGTTCTGATGGATTCTTCCAGAACAGTCTGTTATACCATTTGATGATTTCTAATCGCAAAGTATCACTGAACGATTGCGTTATCCGTATATAAACGCGATGAAAGATTTCTTCTAACAAATACTCTTCTCTTTTCGCGAATGTCAGTCTGGTATTTATTTTGCTAAAACTTTCTATGCTTCCATCGGACTGAAGGGTAGCTGGGCTGGAGACTTCCAGGATTCGCTGCATACCCCGAACCATATGCGCACTATTTCGATACTTTATTAATAAGAGTAATCCACTTTGAAATAAAATCAATAAAAGTCAAATTTATGGAAAATCAAGAACTCATGACCCATCTGAAAATAGTGAAGCACAATTTTTTTCAAACTTAGAAGTTACGTATTTTCTTTTCTATTCTCAACTCTTCTAAAATTTATTTCTTTCTGTACTTTTGGAACCCTCTTGAGAATTGGCGAGATCACGGAAGCTACATCAGCTTTGTAGTTCTGAGCGTTATAAAAGCGGAAGAAACGTAACATATTTTTGTCTTCTGGTCTATACAACATCTCATACGCACAATCTAAGGCTACATAAGCCCTTCTGCGGTCGTTCATAGCTCCTCTATTGATCATTACTTTGCATAAAATTACTAGGTTTACTGTGAGGAGAAACAGGCATGCAAAGAAGCTCGCTGAAGCCGAGACTAACGATTCTGAAATGTCTCGTGCACAATCACACTATAGCGAGTCTCGCATCTTAATAAAGGAGTCTGTAAATCAATGTGGATGGCTATGTAAGTAAGAGGACCCAATAAATAGAAAAAAAGTACGCACCGAAAAATCCTTACGCCAACACTGAGGGATATGGGTCAATATTTGGGTCAGCTGACTCAAATATTTAGCGGTATACTATTCTTCGTACACATGGCTGAGATTTGCTGCACTTGTTTTTTACGAGTGCAACTCGAAATGCAATAGTTTTGAAGATAACCTTCAATTTTTTAAATGATGTACTGACTTGTTTAAATCGTCTCTCGTTTTCATCGTCTTTTTGCTTGCCGTAGCGCGACTTACTTCCATAATTACAACTGGTACGTCAAAAAGGACATCTTTGTTTAGTGGTGCGAATAATTGAACACCTCAAATCCAAGATTTAAGCCTGTGCGATACACCGATATATTCTCAGCGCTGAGAATGTGGACTTTATTTTTAGTAACGCTTAAACAAAACCTTTGACACTTATTCCGAAAGCGTATGTACCCCGTTGTATTGTACGATATGTAAGGAACGCTGTTATATCTGTTTAGACATCAATGCTTTTTGAAAAGTTTTTGAGTACCTTCTTATGCTCCCTCCCCCCCGCCGACTTTTGGCACCCTTTGAAAAATTTGCAAAAAATCGATTTCTTTACCAATAATATCACTCGCGGTTTTTTCATTTGAGACCAGTGAACTTCCCATCGTTATCATATTTGACCCTCCCAAAATCGCGAAAAGGTGGTGAAGAATAACTCAAAATAGCCTTGAATAAGAATGAATCAAGGAAATATAAGAAACCAGCCCACTTTGCAGCTGCGCGGAAGGTTCGGCTGATACTCAGTAGCTTCGCTGCCTCGTATATCTTTCGTTCCACTCTGTATTGTGCAAACGGATTTGCTAGTGAGTTTGTTAGTTTGCATGAAACTTTTCGGTTCAACTTATGCTTGCCTCTCAATCAAATCTGAGTTTGTATTCTAAGCAACAGACATTGCGCAGCCAACAACATATAAAGGCTGGACGTGTCCCATGCTGTAAGGGGTGAATGACGGTAAGGGGTAAAGGGCATTGGAAGTGGAAGCATTCAAAAAGGTAATGTGGGTGAAATTGACGTCATGATTTGAATAAAAGTTAGGTGGGATATAATGGTGTTGATTATCATTGGGTTGGTCTTGTGGTCGAGTTCGATTTTGTGGGTAAGCGACATTTCTGAATTTGTCGATGAACCCCGTTGAGAAAGGAATTAATGCTCAGTCAAATATCAGTCAGTTCTTATCCTTTCCTTTTCGCCAATTTTTAGCCCTAAAGGCGTAAAGTAAAAAAATTGGTAAACGGATTAGCCTATATTAGTGGAAATAGCTTATCAATATTAGGTTGGAAACTAAGTTTTGCAACTGGTCTCATAACTTCCCTCTCACTCAACATGGCGCACTCAAATTTTGGCATTATGTAGAGAGTAATATGTGCTACAAGTGCGCACAAACCGTTTGAATTTTGAAAACGAAATAGAAAAGTTTTGGGCATTTTTCGAAAACTAGTGAAATTTGAGAATTTTTGGAATTCCAAGCTAAAATTAAGCCTTTAGCAGCCTAGACCACGCGCAGTAATCCGGATTCTCTACAAATTATTGCTGGAGGTTGAGTCCTTTGGCCTAGTAAGAAAGAAACAGAATTTAGGAGCTCGAGATTTGGCGTCCTCACAAAGTCGAACGAGTCATTGTACGCAAGAGTTGCTGGAACGACCGTCAATGACTAAAGAGTCGGAAGCTCAAATTCCGCCGAGACTTTACACAATAAGGTTGTTTGACCTGCCGAGCGCGAATATCATATTCATTTGTTGAATCAACGCCTGATTCCTTGTTTAGGGTGAGACCCCATATCGTGCACCTACAGTAATGCTACAAAAAAGCCCTTATCACACAATTTCACTATCTTTTCGTGATCAGCATGTCGGATAACACCCCTATGCCAAGTTTCAGCCAAATCCGTCAAACTCTGAGTTTTTCGCCTTTATACAATACACCTACCGTAACCCTCACTGCGACGTCAGAATTAGGATAGTAGCCGCGCTTGTAGCTTACGTAATAACCAACAAAGTGGCAAAATTTGAGTGCGCCATGTTGAGTGAGAGGGAAGTTATGAGACCAGTTGCAAAACTTAGTTTCCATCCTAATAAAAGACCTGTTTAAAAGCTTATATGCGAAGTTTGGTTCAAATCTCATAATTTTTTTTCCAGCATTCTCGGGCCAGTCATAACAAAACTGCTAAGCAAAAATCCGGAAGTAAATAAGTCAGCGACACTAGACTATTTTTGATAAAAGTTTAGTGACACCCGTCCGCCCCGAAGCTCATTTATGGTTCAGGCCCCAGTTTTTTTGAACATTTTGCACCGGCAAAAATTTTTTCAAGCAAAAACTGCAAAAAAATCAATAAATCGATAGAAGCAATCGGTATGTTGTAAACAAAATCTTATAAACACACGCCTCGCATTATTCGAATGCGTAAACGAAATGAGCCACATCCCTCTTGTTTAACCATCTGGTGAGTTTGGATTGAAGTGCTGTTAAGACATTTTCCTTTGAAGCCGAATCTTAACAAAAACAACAGAAACGCGCAGCAAATTGCCGCGAAAAACAGCAAAGCTTATGCTATCTTTCGGTGTTTAGAACACATGGTCTCCAGAGTTAAGTGAAACTTCTTCTATCAATCAGGGCGGAAAAAATCAAAACAACAATCAAAAGAATCAATAAATTAATCAAAAGAATCAATAAATTAATAGCGGCAATCAGTGTGTTAAACAAAAAAAATTATTAACGCACGCCCCAGCCCTTCCATTATGCCTGCAAAGAATTCCATGACTTCCTTCTAGCTCCTTTTTGTGCGAACATACAAAATCTTCTAAGCAAAAACTGCAAAAAAATTAATAAATCGATAGAGTCAAAAGGTGGCTCTCAAACAAAATGGCTTATTAACACAAGCCTCATCCATACATTATGCCTGCATTTGGTTCATATTCCATAACTGCTTCTATCCTTTTTGAGCGAGCATACAAAAAGTGGCTAAGTCAAATATTGTATAGTATTGATTTCGATCCCGTGTTTTACGCATCAGTCGCACGTGGTGTAATCGCGAATTTCAAGCGTCTCCGACATATAAATATGAGAGAGTAAACTATCAAATTCAAGACACATCGGGAAAGTAGGTGGAATTAATTTAGAGTGAAATCTGCAACGATAACAGAGATAAGGGAGGTAAAACAACCGTAGGTTGCCAAAAAATCCTCACGAGCAAAAAATAAGCATTTCTCATTCTGTAGTGTATTAGGTATCAAGTCGCATAATGTGTTCACAAACATCAAACTTCTTCCAAGCCTCTATCAAAAAAGTTTTGTTTTTTTCCTCTTCCGAAATTCTGTTATCTTTATTCTACCAAAGCATGTCATTTGATATGGGGAAGATGGAGTCTTTAATCAGTGCTTCAGTTAAGCGATCGAAGGCAACAATCCACTTGCAAAGACCGCAAAGCTACGCTTTGAACTTATGATAGCCTGTCAAAGTTGTAAAGAACGCACACTGTAAAACGCCAGAGTGACCTTTCAGTATACGTCAGTAAGTACCCTTCTGATGTCAGCGCGGCTGGGTAAGTTATCAGCAGCGGTAACTTTCGTGAATACGTGAATACCAACTGTGCTTAGCCTACCTACTGGGCAAGCAAATCTAGTGGATAGACTAACCCGCTATCGGTGATAAATACGACCACTGGAATTACAAACGGAACTTTTGATTAGCAAGGCGAATAATTGTAAGGTAACTCAAGCCGGATATTATTACCCTGTGATTTCTAGCAATATAGTCTTAGCGGTAAGAATGTGGCCCAAACATTTGCCAATTATCCCGACAGCGTACGTACCTCGTGGAATTCGCCGCCTGAGTTTAGTCTGCTTGCCAGAAATTGAACGAATAGCACAGCAGTGTTTTAATTTCGATTGTAGTCATGGTGTTAGGAGTCCGAAAATACCTCAGCAAAAATTAGCATTCAAGTGGCAACTACTTTCTCTCTTGTACAACATTCAGGATGCCTGTTTGAAACTTGGTTGTTATCATTTCTGCAAAACTGGCAAAACGGCTTTTTTCAAAATGATGCATCTGAACAGATAATCGCCGGGGGCAGGCGGTCCGCAAACTCACGCTTTTCTGCAGGCGGTCAACAGAATTTTGGGGCGTGGCCAAACCTTCAGCGGGGGTTACTTCCTTTACTTTCGCATGTTCTGCAACCGGGAAGTGATACAGAATTTTTTGCGTTCGCTCGTCAAATAATTTCTATCAGCGAGAGCTGGCCAAACTTTCAGCAAGCGCTCGGAGTCTTTTAGCCAAGCAGAGGTAAGAACTCTATGTGGTAGAGGTGTCATCGATGACTTTATTATTCGAGTTAGGATACCTTCTTTCAGCGAAAGGTACCCTCGGCAGTGCGTTCCTAGATAAAGGACCCGCGATTGTTATCCGAGCGTTCAGCTCAAATTGGCCAAAATTATTCCAAATTTCAGCAAACGAACAAAACGGAAATCAGCGAACTATTTTTTTTCGATGCCCCCTTGCTCAAAATTCGCATGGCCGCTTGCCCCGGCGATTATCTGAGTGCTCCTTTCTACGAAATCATTAATGATTTATTGCACATTGTGTTTTTTACAAAGGATCTGATTAGTATTGTTGCACAACTCAGTGACTGATTCTTCCGAAACAGTCTGCCATTCCACTTATTTGATTTTTCTGCAATCAATAACAAAAAAATCAAAGACATACCTGATTTTCGTTTCGTTCCTTTTTACTATACGGAAATAAGGTAGAAACACGATCTTCCGGGAACTCATTAGTAGTGAAGGAAAACCGAATGGAGAGAAAAAAAAAGAAAGAGAAAGAAAAGGAGAAAGAGAAGAAGTAGTAAAGATTGAAAATTAAAGCAGTACCGTATAGTCTAATTATCCACAAGCAGTCTATTCAATCCTGACAGTGTGGGGATGACTTAGTTGTTGTTGGTAAGTAACAGAAAAAAGAGAGAAAGAAAAGATAAAATTAGAAGTAATAAGAAGACAACATTATACATCAACTATGTCAATCTAGAAACAGATTTTGAAATTAGCGCGCAATAAGAATCCTAGCTGATTTGATTAGAACATGTTTTTTAGAGCGCAACTATATGAGGATACAGTGCTGAAATGATAAGGAGCAAGATTTAAAAGATAGATTTAACATTTAATCCCTCAGTATCTGTGCCAGCATAACAATACCTGGTAACTATGAATATATTTTCATTTATACATTTGAATATCGCATTCAAGATAACATCTTTACTATATCCTTATCGATTAGCTGTTTTTTTTTTCAACATATTAACACTGTGTTCAAAATCTTCTAGTAAAGAACATGTACGAGCAATTGTAAGAGTTTCTGCATATAATGTTGCTTTTCTGATTTTTCTGGAGAGGCAGGATTCATGAGCGAGTCGAAGTATTAGGCTGGGAACTAAGTTTTGCAACTGGTTTCATAACTTCACTTTCTTTGGATATGGCGCACTCGAACTTTGGCATTATATAGAAGGCAATGTGAGCTGCAAGTGAGAACAAATTGTCTACATTTTAAAAGCGAAGTAGAAAAGTTTCAGGTGTTTTTCGAAAACTAATGAAGTTAGAGAATTGTTGGGGTTTCAAGCTAGAATGAAGCCTTTGGCAGCCTAAATCATGAGCAGTAATCCGGATCCGTCTATAAGTTATTGCTGGAGGTCGACTCCATTGGCATAGTAAGAAAGAAACAAAATTTAGGGGCATGTCGAGATTTGGCGTTCTCATAAATTCGAACGAGTCGATGTACGCAAGAGCTGCTGGGGACGACCGTCAATGACTAAAGAGGC